CATGCACACACACGCAGGCTCATAGTCACATGCATAATATAAATGAATAGTAATATAAACAATAATAATCTTAAGCTAGATACATACTCATCAGTATTCTGACTGTAACTCAATATCATTCTGATGTATGCTCTAAGGTCCTATGAATAATTTTAACCAGATGGCTAAGATGGAAGAATATTGACGGATGATGGTAAAAATTACCTCTATCTTTCTTTGTTACAGATAGGAAACGGAGGTCTTTTACTTTTGACTGATATTTTTATTTGAGGGAACAAGGGATCTTTATTGTCCAAAAAGATGGAATTAATTAAATTTTTTGTGTGTGTGCAAGCTGTTATGTACAATTCATCCAAGCCGGGGAATGTAGATGTTGAAATTTTAAATGATTTTCGTATTAATCGATATAATTTTCTTTTTCTTGTTGTTTTGTGTTCCCGGCTAACGCCGTTATATAAAAATTGATCATGCTTTCTTTGGTTGAACGACAGAATATGAACATCAATGTTTTATCAACTTAAAAAATGCAAGAGCTCCATTAGAAATGGTTGTCTTTTGTTCTCTTTTTTTAGCAGGAGAGAAGTGTGGACACGCCAGTTGAGTTTGTTGTCTATTGTAACACCCAAATACTTATAGTCTGACACTAGCTGGGCGTTTCCATTTTTAATTTCAAGTGAATTTGAGGTTTCTTTTTTTTTAAAGTCAGCAACAATTTCGTTGGGTTTTTTTCACATTGAAAAGCAGCTTGTGATTTTTACACCTCTATACAACAGAAATAGGCAGCGGTAAAACACAACAGAATCATTCGAACACAAACAACTGATAGTAAACCTTTGACCCCACCCTGACCCCCGACCCCCACCTCCCTCCATAATACCTTAATAAAAAAAATGTAATAAAAGAACAACAATGAACACAAATGAACCCCCCACCCCCACCCACCACTTACCCGCACCAAAAAACCCCCCTGACATTTAAAAGACAACAGACTCAACCTCAGAAAAATAAATACGAAAAATAAAGTACCTATGAATGAATAAACAAACACACAACTCCACGAATACACAAACAAACAAACAAACAAACAAACAAACAGACTTGAATAGATTAACAGCTTTGAGCAAAATATAAAGGATACGAAAAACAACCCAACTCGCGAACATGATTAAATGAAACAAACAGCTTTGAAAATATAACTGAAAAGAAATAAACAAATTTAAGAACATAAATGAGAAATAAAATAAACAGGTTTTGAGCATATAAATTAAAGGAGATAAATAGCTCGGAGAACAATATACATGAAAAGGAACGCACATCGATAATAAAATAAACTTCCGTGAACACATAAATGAAACAAACAGGCTCTAAACATATACTTGAAATAACAGGCTTTGAACACATACATTAAATAAACAGCTCTGCTGAGTACATAAATGAAATAAGCAGCTCCTAGTGCATAAATGAAATAAACAGCTCTGAGTACATAAAAGAAACAAACAACATGAGCACAAAAATTAAATAAACAGATCTGAGTACATAAATGTAATACACAGCTCTGCTGAGTACATAAATGTAATACACAGCTCTGCTGAGTACATAAATGAAATACACAGCTCTGCTGAGTACATAAATGAAATAAACAGATCTGAGTACATAAATGGAACTGAGTACATAAATGAAACAAACAGAGTATGAGCACAGATTATGTTTTCAGCGACTGACCTGTCAGTTACGACGTACGTCTTGGTTTTACCAGCAGCGAGCGCCCGGCAAAGTGACTGCACGTGCGAATGGTCGGTCAATCGGCCTTCCCTGTCAGAGAGTTGTGGTCACTCGTTTCAATCCTGGACTCGGACAGAGAACTGCAGTCTCTGGTACCGTCGACAGATGGACTGGTGCAGTGGGTAGTGTAGCTGCCTGAGTTTCTAGAGGGTTTCTCGGTTCAAATGCTTTCAGCAGTACGAGTACTTGTGAACATTTCTAAGGTTGAATTTTTGTAGGGGTTTTTGATGGTGTTTTTAATTGTTGTTATCGTTTTCGTTGGGTTTTTTGTTTTTGTTTTTTGGGAGGGGGGGTTTTCTGTAAAATATTAGCTTGAATGAAATAAAAAGGTTTGTTTGTTTATTGGTGAATGACAATATTTTCACGTAGATTCAGTTTTCATAAGAAAAAGCAAAAAGCTGCAGCCTTGCAGCATCCCCCCTTTTCCTGTCTTTCGTAACCTTTTGTCTCTTTTGTGTAGTCGGTTATTCACATGTCAAAGTACTGTGGAGAGAGAGGATAAATAGGTGAACACTTTTGATCTTAGTAAAACTTTTAGGTACTTGCAAATACAAGTAGGCCATAATATAAATGTCGAAGATGAAAGGTGTTACGAGGAAGTAACAAATACAAAAAGAAAGAGGAGAGGTAAAGATGACATATGTTTGATAGGAAAGAAGGAGAAAACCACACCAGAGCACCCGCCAACCACCCTTGGTTCATTCTTTAAAGAGGTATATTAGCAGCAAAAATTCTATCTACTCCGTAGATCTACCTCGTATGGGGAAAAATTTGGAGTTTTATAACATGTCAAGCTTTTTCGAATTCAATTCTCTGAATATCTTGATAAGACCCCAATTGGTCGCTTATAGGACAAGCGGGCTAACCCAGATTCAGGGGGTTTCGAGAAATCTTGACTTACATCAAAAGTGGGCATTACCCTTCCTGTAGGAGAAGTTTGGTTGCATTGGTGTTTATATTTGTTTGGTTATAGAGAAAACTCTCCTCGTCTTTTAAAGAAACTGACCAAGGGGCAAAAACTGTAACTTTCATTTTCTCAAAACAGATTTTTTCGGGATAGTCCCTTTTATGCTTAAAAACGACCAATCAATCTTACGATTTTGATAGAGCAGATAAGACATTTGGTTTCCGACCTCAAGGTCTTGGTCACTGAAAATGACGAAAAATGTCAGATAGAACTTTGTAAATCTAAGGAAGCAAAATGTGTCATGTAACGTAAGGTAGAAGAAATGCAATTCCCACGATGAGATACAAGAAACTGAACGAGGAGCAAAAACTTTACCTTCGATTGTCTCAAAACAGCATTTCGGGATAGCCCCCTTGTGCTTAAAAGTGGCCAATTGATAGAAGGTGTTGTACCTCAGAAAGGGAATTCGATAACAACTCTTTGCCCAATCAACAGAAAAATATCCATATCCTCCATTTTATTCTTTATTTTGACGAGCGCCTGATTTCACCACGATGCAACGCAGATATTACTGCTAGTGACCTTTTAGTTTTAGTAAGTGGTAACAACCGCTGAGGATATATCCCTACAACTGTACACAACTCCGACGTACTTCATTAGTTCTAGTCATCCAAGTTCGTATGCTCGTGACTACTTCTCCAGAAAAACAAGGAGCCCTTTAACCAGTACACATAGAACAAATTAATTAGTTTTTAAATTATACTCGTGAAACAGTAGAATGCAGATTTGTCAACAACGCCTCCCCCCCCCCCCTCACCCTCAACCCTTCTAATTTGTCTGGCTGTAATCTAAACTCATAGAAGTGCCCTTGGTTATACATTTTAGTAATTTGTTTGTGCGAGTAAAGAGAAGCATATCGACGCAAAAATGGTAACTTGGTGCTCGGAAAAAGTAAAACCAGTAGACGATAACATTAGAGGGAAAGCCAAGAAGCAGGACCTACCAGTGGCGGAC